CTAAGTAAAGCAAACTCGGTAGCCGACGCATTGAGTAGGAAGTCAGTGGGAAGTTTGGCGTGCCTAGCCGTGATTTCAGTGGAGCCGACTACTATTGGGGAGGTAAAGGTAAGGAAAATGGAGGATGGATTCCTGAAGAAGGTAGCCGGCGAGATTACCACCAAGCCGAGGTCGGGTTACACCCTTGAGACTGGAGTGCTTAAGTTTGAAGGAAGATTGTGCGTGGCCGACGTCCCAGAATTGAAAAGAAGGATTTTGCAAGACTCTCATGGGTCCAGATTTGCAGTTCATCCAGGGAACACCAAGATGTATCAAGATGTAAAACAGACCTTTTGGTGGCCGAATATGAAAAGAGAGATAGCCAAGTTCGTGTCTCAGTGTTTGTATTGTCAACAAGTGAAAGCGGAACATCAGAGGCCGGCAGGACTTCTCCAACCTTTGCCGATTCCTGAGTGGAAATGGGAAGACATCTCCATGGACTTTGTGATTGGGTTGCCGAAGACACAGAAAGGAATGGATTTGATTTGGGTTATAATCGATAGGTTAACTAAGTCAGCGCATTTCTTGCCGGTTAGGACCTTGTTCAGTGCTGATCGACTTGCTGTGTTGTATATGAACGAGATCGTTAGACTTCATGGTGTGCCGATGTCCATCGTGTCAGACCGAGATTCAAAATTTGTTTCTAGATTTTGGCAGAGTTTACAAAGGGCTTTAGGAACCAAGTTGAGGTTTAGTATAGCTTTTCATCCCCAGACCGATGGCCAAACAGAGAGAACCATTCAGACACTTGAAGATATGCTTAGACTGTGTGTATTAGACTTCAAGGGAAGCTGGGAAGTGCATTTGCCATTAGTAGAGTTCGCTTACAACAACAGCTACCAAGCCAGCGTTGGCACCGAAGTAGGAGATAAAGCTTTGATCGGCCCCGATTTAATTCAAAAGACAACCGAAAAGATTAAGCTTATCCAACAGAGAATTAGAATCGCTTAGAGCCGACAAAGGAGTTACGCCGACCAGAGAAGAAAGGAGTTAAATTCGAAGTAGGGGATCATGTATTCCTGAAAACCTCGCCGATGAAAGGAGTTTCAAGATTTAGGAAGAAGGGTAAATTGGCACCCCGCTACATTGGACCGTTTGAAATTCTTGAGAAAGTTAACCCGGTTGCCTATAGACTTGCTTTACCACCGAGATTAAGCCAAGTTCATAATGTGTTTCATATCTCGATGTTAAGAAAATATATACGGGATCCACTACACGTGATCGATCATTTCGGGGTTGTGGTTGATGAAGGCCTAAGCTATGAAGAAGAGCCGATACGCATCATCGATAGACAAGTGAGACGATTAAGAAATAAGGCAATACCGATGGTGAAGATTGAGTGGAAAGAGCATTGTGGCAAGGATGCTACGTGGGAAATGGAAGAGGAAATGAAAGTCTGATATCCAGAGTTATTCTCGAACCAAGGTAACTCAAGTTTGGGGACCAAACTTCTTTAAGGGAGGTAGGATGTAATAACCCTCACGCTATCCTAACCATACTTATATGCATTCATGTGATTCCGTCTTGTAAACTTGCATGTCGAGTCTTGTCCCTGTTCATTTAAGTGTTACAACATGTTTTGTATCTTGCTTGGTGTGAGTTTAGCCGAGGTCATTTTCAGTTATCTTGGAACCACTTTGTTTGACCACCACCCTCGCCCTGACATATTGGCCGAGATGTCATTATCTAGGCCGAGGTGTTCATCACCAAGGCCGAGATGTGCATCATCTAGGCCGAAATCTTACCTTTACACCCAAGTGACCTTGTCCCGGAGTGGTATGACCTAGACCGAGGTGTGGCACATCTAGGCCAAGGTGTGGCACAGCTCAGTCAAGTGTTGTCCTTCCTAGCCGAGGTCATTGTTCCCTACTTGCCGAAGTCTTGTTCCTAGCCGAGATCATTACTCGCCAGAGTGCCCATGCTGTCTTGCTTATTGAACACACTTTGTCATAGTTTTGTCTTGTCACTCAACCACCTTTCTGTGTAGCACCAACTAGCCGCTGCCACGTGCCTCTGTAAAGGGTTAAGTCAGCCAGCAGACTTAGAAATGTATCATTTTCTATATGTCTTTGTTTGTGAGGAGAGAGAAGCTCTAGAAGAAGAAAAAAAAGTTTAGAGTGAGAGAGTGGGTCTCGAGCTTGATTCCTAGAGATCAAACCATTAGATTCGCGTATTGAGGTTAGATTCTTGATCTACTCTTGTCAGTCTTATTGATCATCTAGCTGCATTGCATGATCGAACCCGTTTTGCATGTCATGCATCGAATTAAAGTTGGTTTTAGAAAGAGAAAATGGTGTTCATGTGTTCTTGAAAGAAAGGTCTTGTTTGATCTAAAAGTTTGCATTAAGTTTCATGTTTTTGTGTTGTTCTCACTAGATCCTTGAATATGGGTACCCAGGTCCATGTTTTTGAA